GATCTGACGGGCTAAGAATGCTGATCTGACGGGCTAGGTATGCTGATCTGACGGGCTAAAACTTTTTGTTTATTACATCACCCATAAATAAACAAAAGTACTTGACTTTCGGTGTGGTTTTCTGGTAAGTTTGTGTGTTTACCTTAAACTACAACCTTTTGTTTATCATATCACGCATAAAGTAGTCTAGTAAACTTCGTCAATATTAATCTCTTAGATTTAGATGGTAGCGCATGCGTATTAACTATGGGTATGCTGGTCAGACGGGGCATGCTGAACTGACACCATTACTGACAGACTAGCATACCCTGTACCAAAATATGACGTCATGCGCATGCGTATTGAGTATGGGTATGCTGGTCTGTCGGGGTATGCTGACCTGACAGAACACCGGCCGATACGATCCAAATATCGGATCGGGACCAGCCTAAAATACAGTATAAAGATCAGGGGTGCACAAGTCTTCTTCTGCTACTCCTGCAGCTACAGCTGCGACCCCCCCCAAAAAAAAACAAAAACAAAAAAACATTAATAATATCCTCATAAACTCGCGATATTATTTAGGAGAAAAAACAACATTTTACTCACTTACTTTTCTTGAAAAGTCCGTTTTGAAAATGGCATTGACAGTAAATCTGCCACCAAATCATAAACTAGCTATCACACCAACACAACTATATTTCGGTTTGTTTGCTAGCTTTGCCCTGATTGGATATCTGACTATCCAATCAGGCAACGGTGACGTTGCCTAAGCCTTCCAGGCAGACATCTTTGACTTTGACCCTGCCTAGCGACAAATGATGGCTGAAATGTGATTGGTTAAATGCTTTTATATGAAAATGCATGTCTGGAAGCAGCACAACCAGGGGAAAAGCTATGAAAGGAAGTGGGCAGACTATTTAGAGATATTTAATATGTTTCCATTGACAAAATATAATAAACATCAGTCTGTGATTAGGATATTTTCTTAGGCCTGCAGAGAAGACCTTGAAGGCCCTGATGGCCCACCACTGCTGGAAACACAGAATCAGCACAAACTGTAACTAAACATCTGGACGGAAAGAATGGGATGTGAGATGAATGTGATCTGATCAACATTGTTCTTCATCTGAGGTTCATCTCATCTCACTTTGATGAGACACAGTTATTCTCCTCAGCCTCTCAGACCTGAGCACTTTAAATGGTTTTAGTCATTATTTGATGTCCTTTAGCAGATAAACAGAGAAACATGCTGTTCCATTCAGACTGAAGAAATCTCCAGTCTGTCAGTCTGATCTGGTCACAGGTCAGAATGAAAATGTCTGCTTCAGAAAACTCCTTTTTTTGTCTGTTTTTAAAGCAAAAGTCTGTTTACAGTTGAAGAGATGTTTTCATTAAAAAAAACACCATTGTGAATTGTGACTGTCCACATACTAACAGAAAACATCCTCTCAGTTTCTCTTGCCTCCATTCATTTCTGATCCCTGATTAGCTAAAGTTCTGACTCATAGGCAGCGTGTCAGGATCCAGAGTTTTTAGAGTCTTTGATTGTTTTTAACACTAGAACTACCACGGAGGGGTCAAGTGACATCTTTACCTAAAACCCCCACAAGAGGGTCATTTGACCCTTTGGACCTCCTGCGGACACTCCTTTTGTTGTGGATATGTGGCTGTTAGCAGCTCATAGCTTGATCACTTGAGTCACAGAGTCGCTGTGTTGGGGAAGGGAACCCCAAGGCAAGCTTTTAGTATAGTTTTTTAGTGGATTTTTATGCAGTGAATCATCAGGATCAATGAGAATTTGGGATCAAAACTCTAAACATTTATTGTTAAAAAAATACAAAACAAAACATATTTACAATGAATGCAAAAGCAACTGTTTTCCCAGTTTTCGTGTGGAAGGTTGTGGCACAAGTAACTTATTTTTGTGTGCCAAAAATAAAATAAAAATAAATTACAAAGAAAAAAAGCATATTTACAAACAATGCAAATGAGTGAAATACATTTGAGCAGTCACTAACAATTCTGGCACTGCCATTGCTCCTTTCGGCATTTCCCACATGTGTATTTGTCATCACAGCGCACTGTTGCACGATTGTTCTTGCATTTGATTTTAGCCTGACACTTGGCTCTTTGTCTGAGTTGTGGTGTGGAGGGTTGTTGCCGAAGCAATTGCTCCTTTTGGGCCTTTTTCATACCCACATGGGAGTGAGCCAACTCTCTTGCCAGTTCAAACAGGAAATCCACCCGTCTTTCCTTTCTGCCGGTGCATAATTGATAGAGCACGTGGGCATTCAGTGCTGCAATGTCTATCATGTTGTAGAACACTGCTACTGGCCAGCGCCTTGTTCCTGCGCGGACAGTGTATTCCCGCACCATCTGGTCCATGATATCGACACCGCACTTTGTTGTGTTGTAGAGTGTGATGGTGTTTGGCTTCTTTTTGGTGGTTTTCTGTGTCTCAATCGTGCTGTGCATGCTGCTTAGAACATACACAGTCTTCTTCCGCTTGGGCGCATACGCAGTCAGTGTGGCACCAGTGGATGAAAATACCTGCGTGGTAAATTCATCGCGGTGCATCTGTCGAGTTGACGGTGGGATTTCTTGGCGAATCCTGTTGACTGTGCCGAGGATGGTTGTATTCCGGCTAAGTAGTCGTTTTGCAAGTGACAGTGATGTAAAGAAATTGTCTGTGGTAACATTTCTGCCCTTGTCCAAGAATGGTTCCATCAGCCTCATGACTACACTCTCAGACACTCTCTCCCCACGAGGCCGAGTGGGGTCCTTGCCAAGATATGGGAGGATGTTGCAGACGTATTTGGTTTTCAAGTCACACGCCAAACTTGTCTGGTTTAGTTGCAATTTACTGTAGGAAACAGCAGCGAGTCTTGCACGGGAAAAGTTGTTCGTCAATGGTGATGTGTTGACCAGGAATGTAGGATGTGATGCAGTTGGTGACAAACAATCCCCTTATGTTTGAAATTGCAGCAAACCTATCAGTCTGTACTCGCTCGCTGCGGGTGTCTCTGTCATCAAAGCGCAGGTGATGCATGATGTTTTGGAAACGGCCTCGGGACATGGTTTCGATGATGTGTGGGCTTCCCAGGTTTTTCGACCAACAGTCAGGCAGTGATGGCACCTTGAAGATTCCCCTCATGATGGTGATGCAAATAAATGCCATTAGTTCAGGTATGCCCATGAACCAATCCACATGCTCAGTTTGCTTCGCATGTTGAATTGTACAGTCTCGAATGATGCCAAGCATGTCCAGAGTGATGAAACAAAGGAAGCTCT